TCCTACTCCTGATTCTTCCCTTTGTCTTCTCTGGGTAGTCCTTTCCTATCAAACAGAGTCCCAGGCAGCCTCTGCCTCCCTCCAGGATTTGACCTTCATTTCTGGTTTACAAGCCTGGCTAACATGCATGCAGAAATAATACATGTATGAATTTCTACTCATTTTCACAGGTAGAATATCCTCATGCAACTATTGCTCTAATCAAAGCAGAGGATTTTGCAAACCCCCCAAGTAATTCATTTTCATTGTGATATGTTTTGGATCATGTGCTCGTACCACAGTTTGTTTGGCATTTAGCTGTTCTTCTGTAATTAAGTTCTTTATAGGTTGGGCAATTATCAACAGAACTGGTGGATTTGTTGTTAGATTCTCTGGCTGACATATGTGCTCATTTGTGCTGGGCATTTTCCTAGCATGGAAACTGCTGAGTCATAGAGTGTACATATGTTCTAATTAGATAATGCTGCCAAGCCATTTTTTAAAGTGCCGTTTCCTATTGCTATTCCTAGTAGACTGTGATAGCTCTTTAATGAGCATGTAATAAATTCACATGACAATGAGTTTTATCATGACAGGTTGATGCACACATGTAATGTACTTTTATCATTCATTCCAATTCTGCTTTCTTATCCCTTTCTGCGGTTTCCCCTTCCATATCCTCACATCACTTACCTGCATGTGCTCCCTACACCTAAATTCGACATAAGAGAGAATGCTTGCCTTTCTGGGTTTGGCTTATCTCATGAATCACGAGGGTCTCTGGTTCCATCCTTTGTTCTGTACATGACATCACTTCATTCCTCTTTGTGGCTGAATGAAGCGGCGTTGTGTGGGTGTAGCATACTTTATCCATTCAACTGGCAATGAGCACTCAGACTGAGTTCATGACTTGGCTAATGTAAGCAGTGTGGTGATGAACAGGCAAGTGTAGGCACCTCTATGGTACAACACTTGCGCTTCTTCTGCGTCTATACCCAGAGTAGCAAAGCTGGCTCATATAGGAGTTTTGCTTGGTTTGTTTTTGAGGAACTTCCATTCTGATTTCCATAGTGTGTGAACTAATTTTCATTACCATCAGTAAGGAGCAAATAAGGAATATGATTGCCCTGATTCTCCAGAGCCTGACCAACACACAGAATTTCCACAATTATCACTTAAGCCATTTTAGCTTCTGACTTATGATTTCTGACCTATGTTCTGAATTTTGTCTGTGACTCTCTAATTTTCTGGGGGATCTTGGGAGGAGTTCAGGTGAGGATCTGAAAGTCCCATGTTTTAATCAGCATTCTCCAAAGCAGCAAAATCAATAAGCTCAAGAACTGTGGTGTAAATTACATTGGCTTTATGACCATAGTTCAGTTCAGTTGCAAAGGAGAGACCAGGGCAACATGCAGTCTCTACAAGTCAAGTGCTCCCTCTTTCACAGGAAAATCAGCCCATGTGATATTCTGGCCTTCAACTGAGTAACTGAAGGTTGTCCACAGGAAGACACCTGTTATATTGAGTCTCTTAATTCAAATGTTAATCTAATCCTTAACCACTCTTACACACATCCTGAGAAAAAGTCTAACAAACTCTCTAGATATCCAGTAACCCAGGGAGACTGACAAATATTATAGCATGTTTGTCACCTAGTCTGAAACCACAGTGTTCCAATGTCCTTGTATAATTATAGCTTTGCTTTACAAAAATCATTCACAATTTTGCTTAATACTGTACTTGTAAATTTAAACTACAATGTCAGTCATTCTCACTGCTATATAGGATTTCATTGGATAACTACATAGAAATTTATTCACTCAGCTGAGAGGCCCCTGGGTAGTTTCTACCTTCAAATGACTTACTCTTTTGTGAATGTTTAGAGTATTGCCAATATGTTTAACAGTGTTACAGAAGGTTCCATTGAAATGTCCCTTTGCACATGGGAACAGGTGTTTTTCTTGAAAAGCCTAAAGTCAAGCAATGGTCTACTTCAACATGCAGGAAAGTCTCTCACCACCTACCCACTGTCCATGAAAACTTCCATTTTCTCTCCTACTATTCCCATTACTCTATGACCTAACCAGTTTCTTCCTCTCTCAGATGTTTCTCATGAAGATTTTTTTAAAGAAATGCTTTTTGACAATACACACATAATTAATTGGAAATGCAGAAGTCAAACTAGTGCTATAGCCTTCTCCCTGTTGAATACTGTTTGTGCTGCTGAAAAATGCTTTGCTTACCATCAGAGGAGAAGAGTAAACACCTACCCAACTTCAGACCCTTCAATCTACAATTGTTACCTGCCTGCAAGATTCGCTGGTACAGTTGTGCCACAAAAGTTGTTGTGGGAGTAGCTAACCACTATCTGACTGGCTTTAAAGCCTACCCTATGAGATGTAACCCATAGCAGATATGATACACTTGGGTGAGCAAGAACCCAAGACTAGATAGGTCAAGGACCTAGAGGGAAAACAAATACTACTGTTCTGCTAAAGGAATGTAGCAACAAAATGACTCCTAATGGCATTCTGCTATACTCATAGATCAGTGTCTAACTCAGACATCATCACAGAGGTTTCCTCCTGGGAACAAATCAGAAATTCACAGCTGGATACTGTATAGAGAATGAGAGACCTTATAACACTCAATCCTAAATGGGAGTAAGGGGGTGTAGTCAGTGAGGATGACACCAAAGAAAAAAGGTGTTTTGAATATTCTAGAACTGGTGCACATATGAACTTGGAGAGATCCTGGCAGCATTCACAGCATCTGCAGAGGTCTAAGCTGGATGGGGTCCTAGTGCTGAGAGGAAAAGCAGACACAAGCCTGTATCCCTAACCCAGAAGCTATCTCCAGCTGACAATGGATACCAAAGGGAAATTAATTTTCTCTAATAGAATCTCACTAGGTATACAAACCACACTTAATAGTAAGCCCTAAACCCTGTAGTAAATGGCAACACAGAATGAAGTAGACAATCATTTTGGAGGTTGTTTTCTGTCTCCTAATTTATAATGCTTTGTCACAACATTTTTGAACCTTATAAGGTTTTTGTTCAGATATTATGGCTTTTAATTTTGTATTTTCGCAGGATTTCTGTATGCACAAATGTATGTGTGGTTTTTTTTTACTTTTTCTTTGACTCCTTTTTATCTGTTTTGTTTGTTTGTTCTGTCCTATTCTGGTTTATTGTTCTTTCTTCTTAGATGCCTATTTGTTTTCTAATGAGAGAGGGAAAGAGAAAGAATGGGTATGGATTTGTAGGCAGGACATTAGGGAGAAGCTGGGAAGAGCTGGGGGATGGGAAACCACAATCAGAATATATTGTATGGTCAAAAAATCTATTTTAAATAAAAACTATTGAAATGAAAATTTCCTATAGGAAAATGCACGGGGTTTTTGTTGTTCTTTTTTGTTTTGTTTTGCTTTTGAGTCAGAATTTCTCTGTGTAGCTTTTAGACCAGGCTGGCCTTGAACTCCCAGAGATCTGCCTGCCTCTGCTTCCCAGGTGCCGAGATTAAAAGCATGCACCACCGCCGCCAGGCAAAAATGCACATTTATAAAGTGCAGCATAATGAACATCCCCAAAGTTAGCACATTTAAATAATAACTATATAAGAGGAACCATACATTGGAGCATGTGACTCCAAATTCCTGAATTATTCTCTCTGAAGTAACCATGCCAACTAAATTGCAACAGAATGAAAACATACACACCTTTTTTATTTCCCTTTAATCTTGCCAACATTTTGGGATTATCATCTCTTGTTTTCATGGTGCTGTGGCTTAAAGACCTCCATAAACTGCTTTGCTTGGCTGCTAATGTGGTTGAGCATCTTCCAGTGTCCACTTGCAGGGGAGTTTCTTGCAAGTGGAAGTGTTTTCATCACTGAGTCATTGCTAAATTTTGACCTTTCTCTAAGACGCACACTCTGTCTTGTTAACACCTCTCACTTGTGGACCTGACATATTCCGTATCCAGCCCTTTGATCTCTGCGTGGTGCTAGATAAGTCCCACTAATGCTTTCCCAGGATATTTCAGGACTCACGTCTTTCATGACAGAGAACCTACAATGGCTACCAAGGGTAGTGGACCAATGGTCGGCCTGCATGGCTCACATACTGGCTGTGAGGGTAAGGAATCAGGTGATGGGCATGTAGCTTAAGTTTGTGCTTAGGCTGCCTGTTACCTTACTTATGTCAATCTCATGTCCTCAGAGGATTTGAGACTGACTGAGCATCAAACTGTGTTATAGCAAATCACTGCCAGGTAGAAATTCATGAGGCACAGCCCATTGCTCACCTTTCACCAACTGTGTGACACTGGGCAGATCATCTCTCCTCTTGGTGTTAGTCTCTTCTAGGGCAAAACAGAGGGGCTATTTCCCTGCCTACCCCACAGTCATTTTAGAAATCAAATGAAAGAACACATTATTGTGTTTTGTAAGTTTTTTGTTTGCCTAGTCCTCTCTATAGGACTACAGATTCAGCTACTATCTGGTTTCCACCCTTACCTGAGCGCTCTGGGCAGGAGCTGAGGTGACACACTGGGGGAGATGAGTTCACACAGGAAACCCCTAGTCATACTATGAGAGAGTGTGGCTTACTGACAAACAGACCCGTGCTTCCTAGTGAGTACTGCCTCGTGAAAACCACAGAAGAGGCATGGGTACTGCGTGCTGCCTGCATTTAGTGAGTAAAGTGTACATTGTCAAATGAACGACTGGGTGAGAATTCTAAGTCAGAGAGCAATCTCAGCTCAAACAAACCCATAACTGACTGATTTCAGATGTACAAACATGACCTGAATTAATGGACCAGCTAAACAACCCAATTACTGCTTAGTGGAAGCGGGGGCAAAGATGAGGGTATACTGCACAGTGAGGAAAGCCCCCCCAGGGGACATGAGCAGGGCCCTGGGTTGAGACTGCCAAGGGCAGGTTTGTAGGATGGTGAGGGCTGTGCTGGCTGCTGGATCATAGCTGCAGAGGAGAGAGCCCACGTGGATCTTCCTTGTCGTCAGGCAGCTCTCTTCAATGAGGTGGGCTCAGGAAGGGCTCCGTGCCTCCGCTCCGGTGAGCAATAGCCAGAAGCCTTGAGAGGCAGGAGAGGTGCTGAGCAGTCGATCAGCAGCTGCTGCCCCGGCTCTCAGGAGGCCAACTGGACTCTCTCACCCGGCTGCAAGGGCAAGGACAGTGAGACTCGACCCTGCCTGAGCCATGCCACTCAACCTCACAGAGGGCAACTCACATGCCAACCAGACTGTGCCAACACTAGATGCTTCCCCAGCAGCTTGCACTGAAGTTGTCACCTTCACTGAAGTGCTGGCGGCAGAGGAGTGGGGGTCCTTCTACTCCTCCTTTAAGGTAAGTGTCCTGGCTCTAAAGGACGAAACAGGTGGGACCGGAGAGGGCTGTGAGTGTCATAGCTGCTACTGGGAATGGTTTTCATTTTCTTTCCTTTTCCTTCGCCCTTCCTTCCTTCCTTCCTTCCTTCCTTCCTTCCTTCCTTCCTTCCTTCCTTCCTTCCTTCCTCCTTTCTTTCTCTCTTTCTAAACTACCAAACGGGAAATCCCCCCACATGATGAGTTTAAATAGTTAGAGCTTCCTAGTTTTCCAAGCTCGGCACTGTGGCTTCTTTAAAATGCATATGTTTTGCTGTTTTTGTGAAAACTTGTACCTCGTCAGTAACATTTCTCAGTGATAAATTTCACTCTCTGTTTCACTGGCTGAGAGCACTGTAGTTAACCCCAGAGCAGTGTGTAAAGCATCTATTTCTAGCAAAAATTGTAAATTTTCTAAAACTGAACATTTCCCCTCATTGTAAACATGTAAATTCATTTAACTGTTAGGTTTGGTATTTTTTGTTTGTTTGCTTTGTTGTTTAGCATCAGAGCACTGGGAACCCACATCCGTAGGGGCGGTGGCTGACACCAGGAGAGAGAGGGTGGAAGGCAGGGAGGACCACTCTGTCTTCTCAGTGAATATTAGTGAGAAACAAATTCTTTGATGAGTTGGTGGCAGTGATATTTGCAACAGGTTGTTGCCTATAATAAATCAAAAGAATCGGTGTTTGGCAAGCTTCAGCTCTGTAATATCAAAGGATAATAACTCTTTCATTAAGCTGCACTGTCCCCTGATTTATAAAACGATCTAGTGGACAGGAACAAATCACGTGTCTAGAAACCGTGAGCTTTCTGCTTCACACATGCAAACACTGGGTGGTGGGGCCACCTCACACTCCTCCTGCCTAGTGACTCACAGTGAGTAGCCTTAGTCACCACCCTAAGTCACTGGCTTCAGCCTGCACTCCTTGTTGTTGCTTCTATTGTTGTTAATTCTCTAGTGTCTTAGAGATAATTAGGGTTTTACAGTTGGACTTACGATGACCATGACACCCACCCTTTCTACTCTACAGATTCCCCACTCCCAACTTTTAGAGTAAAATTTTCAGCTAGGGGCTCTCTAGGGAGTTAGCTTCTTCCTGTAGAAAATTATTGCTGTCTGGCTTTAGGGAACCCAGTCCCTTAGACTCAACACACACACACACACACACATATGCGCACACACACACACCACACACGCATGCACATGCACACATGCACACGCACAGAGACAGAGACAGAGAGACACACAGACAGAGACAGAGAACAGATGCTCTGAAACTCCAGTTTCTCACCACTGACTAGAGTTTGAACGCTGCCTTTTCTGAAACCAGCCCACCAGCCCAATCTCCAAGTGGTTACTAGCAGCCTTTGTGTGCCCAGGAAGCTTGGGCTCTGCAGGGCCACTGCCAACTTGCCTTTGATGTTTATGGCACATGACAACAAGCATATTGAAGAGACTTGCCCTCCCCAAATGGGTAATAATGAACAATAAGGCCATTGTTCGGAGGCTCAGGTGATGAGCATTCTCCACTGAAGGCTCATTTATTATCTTGAATCTCACCTGAGGGGTGTTGTGAATATACAAACAAATCCCTGCACCCTTGCTCTCCACTACTGTTACACCGTCTGTCCCACGATGTCTTTGTCACTAGACACTGAAGAACTGCATCCTCTGTTCAGTTCCTGTAGTTAAGCTTGTGGGCAGTGCACAGAAAGAAACAGAAAGGAATTATGTCCATTGAAAACCAGGAGCATTCAGGGTTCTGCTTCATTGTGAAGAATGCATGCATTGACTAAAGCAGAAGTTTTCAGATAGACAAAATCAGTGGAGAAGCCTTGGCAACCCTGTCTTAATCTTAGTGGAACTTTGTTCTGTGGCTGCCTTTGAGCACAAGTCAAACCCTTGCCTGTCTTGCTTCCTTTTATACCACATAATTCTAAGGGAAAATGCCAAAAATGTGTCCTATTTACTGCTTCTTAAGTATGCCCCCTTAATTCATATTGCCTTGGTAAAAAGCAGTAAAAGAAACATAAAGTAGAATTGGTGACAGCAGTCAAAGTGGCTGAAATACCACCAATAGCAGTCTCCGTACATCCCCCTTGTGCCAAGGGTACTGCTGTGTGACCTCCGTAAAGCAGCTCTTGTCATTCCCAGACTCACAGCATAAGCACTTGGCTTCCATCTTCAACTCAGTTATCTAAATCCTGCCTGTTCTTTAATGGTCAGCAGGGGTTGCTTCCTCCAGAAAGAACCCCACCCCTGAGCTTCCTTGGGTTCTTGGATTGCACATCTTCTTACCGCTTCAGGCCGATGTCTCAGACTTCTGCTGGACGGTCTGTTGCGTCAGACTTCTGCTGGAGTGTCTGTTGGGTCAGACTGCTGCTGAATTATTTATCGGGTGAATGTGTTACAGACTCTGCAGCACTTTGCGAGGCACATCCGATAAATAGAGCATAAACAAAGCATAGCATTCTACTCTAGTCCTCAGCATTCATTGGAATCTGCAACACGATGTTTGGTTTATCCTTAGAAGAAATGTGGGGACCTGGCGAGATACAATTCATCCTACAATCCATCCTCATCCTACGTGGTCTCTACTAACTATACTCACCAAGGGAAAGAATGCATTCGCCCAATGCCTACTCCATTTCAAAGTCAATGGGACTAAAGTCAGTCATGGGTTCCCATGACTAGAGCCCCAAGATCCTGTCAACAGGATCTGATCTCCAACGCCAGCGTAAGCCCTGGGAAATTCCACCCACCCCATCGTAGCCACCATTATTTCAACACCCTTAACCCATATCCCTGGGACTACTCAGCATTCCTGTTCTCAGCTCTCATTCTCCTGCCTTGCTGCATTGTCTTAAACATGTCAGATTCCCCAAAACTCAGAAGGGCAGTCAAGCATGAGCTTGCCTCCCACCAACCTGTATCTCTGTTTTCCCCAGTAGCTTACGTGTGCACACACAGCTGTAGTCTGAAGGTTTTCAAACAAAGCCTTGGTGTGCTTCTTTTTCCAATTCCATCTACCTCAGATGTCACATCCAATTTGTCTCCCCATGGATGAGAAGTGCCCATAAAGAGAAACTATCTGAGCTTTGAGAACCTACCAGTTTTCAAATACCTAAGTCATTAGAATATACACAGTTCTGTCCAAAAACAAAACAAAGGCAAAACACCTCACACAAATGCCTTTTGACTTAAAGGTGTGTTTGCTGGCATTGTTTCTGGAACTTAGTGAGTGATGAGAAATCTAATTTAAAGGAAGTGGGAGGGAGCTACGTCTGAATCAGGAAATTAACTAACTCATAAAATAATGCAAATGAAACTCAGTCTTATTACTCATAGGTGAGGGGGAAAATGTGAACTAAGAATACTAAATATTACCTAATCATGATCTTTCATCAAACCTCCTTCAGTACACAGTTGCAAATGATGTGCAATTAGTCTAACTATTGTTTTCATGTAAATGGTGGCTCCGGGGAGTGCGTGAGGGTGATGGGACAAAGTCACTCACTGTATGTGCTCACCCTTCCTGCTGTGCTGTCCTACTGACAGTTTTCTAAGCATTATCTTTCCTCCTTGTCTAGCAAAAGCAAACTTTAATTCAAAGTGTCCTAATTATCTACACCATGTGGTAACAATGACTTCACTTAAGTTTCTGCATACTGAGAGCTCTGTATAGTGGGACAGCTCATTTCTAAGACCCCATTCTGCCTGTCCTGCGTTAACATCTCCGCCTCCCATAGCTCTTACTTCAATACAGCCTGTTAACTTGTCTGCGTCTTTGATAGCTCCTTTTCACCTATTGTATAGCCTGTAAGCCTTGGTGGCCTCATTGCCTGCCCAGGAGCCTATCATGCATTTTTAAATTCTCTTTTAATAGGTTTCTACCAGTTTGTTCACTTGGGTTCTCTAGTTGCATATTACAGCTATCCCTAAGGGGAAGGCTTGCTTAGTACTACTCAGGCAAAGTCTATTAAGGTTCTGTCCCTTGCTACTTGCGTCTGCTATTTAGACCTATGATACCACTGGTGGCATCCCCCACTTTGGGCGGGCTTTGGCATGCATGCAGTCAGTCTACCTTTCTCTCCTGTAAGACACTGGTATTGCTAATAACTTCATAAGGATGGCATGCAATTGACCAGCCATCTATTAGTGCATGAAGAGATTCTCTTCTGTTAAGTTTCTCTGCATCATTAACAAATTGGATATCAAGCAGCATTACCTTGGCTAATTCATAGTAAACTTAGTCTCCAGGTAAACTTGGAGAGATTTTCTTTCTAGGGAGGATCTTCTCAGGCTCTGGCTTACGGAAATCCACTAAGTCCAGGTCTGACCTCTTATGTGTATGGTAAGCACGACGGTGGGGGCATCCGTCCAGCTGGCAACTGGACAAAAGGGCATTAACTGAAAGTAAGTTTTGTGGAGCCTTCAGACCACATGTCCTTCTGGTCTCCTGTCTGGCTTCTGCTGTGGAGAGGGAGCAATGTTCCTTTGCTCCTTCAGGTTCTGGTGTTGGGGAAGTCCTGTGTCAATAAAGCACTGTTGGGCCAATAGGAATCTAGATAGATGGGACTAGGAGTCCAGGAGAACTCTGGGAAGGAGAAACACAAGAGAGTCGAGATGTAACGCCATGGGGTAGGAAGCCCGGAAACTTCTCCGGTAAGAGACATACTTAGATTAACAATTATGGGGTAATTACTTAAATCAGAGCTAGCCAGTAAGAAACAAGCAAGGCCAACATTTCATAATTAATATAGCCTCCTGTGTGTTTATTTGGGACTGCTGCGGCTCTAAAACCAGGCTGGCGGGAAGGCTTCTCTCAAGGAAAAGGTTTCCCTTTACATTCTGGGGTCTTAAACTTCTCTTTTTCCTTTTCTCTTTGCTGGCTACATCTCTGTAACCTTATAAGAAATGGAAGTTTGGCGTCTTCTCTAGCCAGCTCTGGGGTGCAGGGAGCAGTGTTCCTGTCTGTT